GGCGCGGTTCGCATGTAGTGTGAGCGCTAACCGTGCTGGAGCGCGAAACAGGACGCGTGACGGCTGTCAACAAAGTAGTTTTCAAGTGCACACATAATAGCGATGTGTCCCATTGAATACAGGTGTCTTAATACAAGAGCTAATGTAGCTAATATTAACCAGCAAGTGATAGTAAGTTACATGATTATTAACTATAGAACGCTACTGTCATCATTACAAAAAATATTATAAACATTGTATTTCAAATTTCATAATACACTTTTCAATTGTATTCAATGACATTTCAGTATATTATTTTTTGCCTTGTCGGGAACTGTAGTCGGTAATCAAAGCTGCAAAGTCCTTGCTGCACTTCAGCTGGTACCTTGCAAACCTCCTCATACGAGCAGCACGATAACGTGAAAATTTTCGTGCCACAAAAGCGATAGACCCGTTTAGCAACAGGCTGTGAGAGGGCTGTGGACCATCGCAGACCAAACGACTCAAAATTACTATCAACAAAGCAGGGTTCGAAATAGCCGGTATCGCATCGCAGTTTGCGATGTAAAAACACCCACCTGCGAAACAATTGCCTAATTCCCGTTAAAATGATTCACAGCCATTGCTAATCAATATCCAGTTTTACATTTTATTAGAATTTTAATCATAAAAGTGAAAAAATCCAGCCCCGATCCCCCGATACTCGCTGGTAGCGCTATTGACGATCTTGTCCAAATAACGGTGCTGCCGAATTTGTTTTTCAGGCTAACCCCTGACTTACACTGGATGCGTATTCGCTGCGGTGCGTTTCCGACACCGCATCAGTTTACACCAGTTCCGCTGCGTTGCGTCTCCGCTACGTCTCTGTTCCGTCACACGTCCGGCAGTCCGTCGAGATGCGCATCAAGTCTATTTTTCACAAGAGTGTCCAGCTGCAGACGCCTGTAGAGTACCAAGAGTGTCCAGCTGCAGACGCCTGTAGAGTGGAGCTCCACCGGAAATACGTCACCTCCACAGGAAATACGTGATTTTAAGGGGCGTAAAGTGGATCTCATCTTTACGGACGTAAAGTGGAGCTCCACAGGAAACACGTGACCTCTACCGGAAACTACCACTCTTAGCGAAAAGAGAGTCTGGAGCAAGTCTGCGAATCTGAAGTAAGTTAAGCGAAGCGACAAACATTAAAACAATCTCGTGTGCACACAATATTTGAGTCTAACGTTATGTTGCTTGATGAGCTGTTTTAGCATTTGTTGTCATTAGTGATGGCAAAACGAAGCTTTCCAAAGCACTGAAGCTTCCTTTTCAAGTGTGTCGAAAAATGGTTCAGTACTCGAAGCCTTCCGAAATGGTGTCCATTAGTGACACCAAGTGGTCAAATAAGGAAATGACACTTAATTTTGAGAGTGCAGTGAATCTGAATATTTATAAATTGGCAAAAATTCAAACGGTCTGTAGTGCGTTATGAACATTAATGACCTGGTGAAATTGAATGTGACTTCTTGTGGACTGGGAAACCATTGACTTAACTGGGAAGGGGTGCTTCTGTAACGGAAGAGGGGCCATTAGTCTACAGATTTTTATTCAGGAACAGTATTTGTTCAACATTGCGGGGGCTAAGTTGGTTACGTTTTTTATTCACCACTTCTCCTGCTTTGGAGAATATGGAACGGAGGACGCTGTAGTGCATAAAAACTGTACTGCAAGTTCGTATAAGTGTGGATACACAGCCTGGTGCATATCCCAGAACCTCAAAGGGTCTTCAGTATGTGGTATATTGGGGCCACTGAGGTTCGCGTCTCATTTTCACTTTTCTGAAGCAGTCACGTGGTTGAGCCCAGAACGAAGCTTCGGATCACCATGGTCACGTGTTTAGGGTAGAACGGAAGAAGCATCGAAGCTCTGCTTCAGAACGCACTGTATCGTTTTTTTTGACACATGCCTCGGAGCTTCGGTGTCAAGCTTAACATCACTAGTTGTCATATAGAACAGGCTTTCCATGAAAACATTTAACGTTTACTTTAAAAACTTTTTTTTTTGTTCGCGGTTCTTCGGACATGCTGCAAAGTCTTATTAGCCATCTAACAGTTAAGTGTATTCAGTTGGAAGCCGTAGGTGCAGTAATCCTCACACTGTGTATTGTGTTTTTTTGAGATTACATTTGTCATTACATTAACAGGATCACATTGATTTGTGAACTTCTGATTATAAATATGGATCCACGTTTAAAAACGCCTTTACTTTTTCAAGGTATGTTGTGTCCGTTTTCATGTTACAGTAAGTTTGTTGATTTTTATTACATTTTTTGGATAAACTTTATAACAAATTCTTTTATTAATTTCACCAGCATGACAGGCAGATAGTAATAAGCATTGTTTTTAATAAAGATCGCTTGTTGATCGCTGTAGTTTGTCTGTAGTCACAGGCTTTCAATTTATTTTAGAGATTTGTAATATTTCATTAGACATTTTTCATATGCATGATGTGGAATAAATTGCTTAAATATAATTTCATTCAATTGGTTTATACTAGTATATTTTTTGCTTACAGACAAAATTATACGCCGGTGCACACTACCATGCCGGGACAAGGGACATTATCACTGCCCTTTGTGCAAAAGGACAGTTATTCGCCGGGTTGACATGGAAAGGCATTTAGTGCTGTGTCAGAGTCTTCCACCCGCTGTACCCTCTGCAGCAGTGAGCCTGCCACTCGCTGTACCCTCTGCAGTTGTGGTGGAACACTCATATGCGCTGCCTTCTCCAACTGTGCTGACTGAAGCGGAAAAAAACACAAATTTGGTCAGATGCACTCAATGTAACCTTACTGTTCTTCGGAAAAACTTAAAAACACACTTGCTGAGGAAGCATGTAGATATGCCACAAGATATTACACAAGTGAATCATTTACAAAGTGTATGTGTTGATGAAAAAAATGGCATATTTGCTGTACAAAAAACTAGACATGGGTTTTCAGTGCCAGTACATGTACAAAGAAAAATCTGGGGTAAAACTCATCAGGTCAGATGTGAGTTAGAGGAATGCCACCAGTATCATTTGCTGGCTCAGAGGAGTGGACTTAGCTATAGTTTATGTGAGCATGTCCGCTCTATAGATTACTGCAGAAAAACTGTTCCAGAAATATTTCTCAAGGAAGACATCCTGAGGGAAATGATGTCTCTGAAATTCTTTGGCGAGCCAAAGGTTGTAACGTGTATAAACAGGCAAAAAGTTGCTCAGGTGGCACCTGTTCCAGTTGCAGTGATGGTGGAGTTTGGGGAATCAGCATCACAGATATGTCTTTCCATTCATGAGCCTAAAATACACAGTTTTTGCCGTCTTGGCAGAATATTTGTGACATACAACAAACAGAAGAACACCTGGCATTGTGCCTGTGCCAAGCCACGAACATTGTGTCCTCACAAAAGCATTTCAAAGTGGGTTCTCTTTCAAACACAAAGAGATCTCTTCAGGACAAAGGTTCCACCTTCACCAGGATCACCTTTGCTGATATCAGGGAATGCGTCTGGATCTCTACACAATACTGCTGTGGAGCGAAGTGTGCGCTACATATTTAAAGAAAAAAAAATTCCTCAGACACTGCCAAAAGAGATCACTGAACAAAAAAATAAAATGGAACCTGAAAAAGTTTGTTCCTGTTGAGACATTGTGTCAATTATGCCCAGGAAATCCTGTACTCGATAAGGCAGTGCAGGTCACTAATAAAGCTCGAATTGTCAGCATGATGGGCGTTACTGAGAGTAAGTCTGGGGAATCAGATGCCCATTATGTATTTATTCCTATTATGATTTGTCACTAATACAAATGCTATACTCATACTAACAAATTAAATGTAATTTGTCTTTTAGATGTTACATCCTTTTGTAGGAGGTGTCCTCAGTGCACTATGGTGTACAGGTACCAGGAGTGGAAAGATGGCCTTCACAACTTTGATGACCATATTTTCCTATGTCTTGAACTGTGCCTTTTTCTCAGGGAAAATATACAGGTCAGGGTGTCACAAGTTTGTTCTCCTTAGTTGTTGAGTTTCTTCTTTTTTATGAATATTGCCTTATTTGAATGTTTTATGCATAATTGTTTCTTTATCCTTGATTTGTATTTTAGAACCACGTGTCTGTGTCAAGAGTCATCGACTCATTGGAGGGGTTAAGACAAGAGAAGTTTCCTTCCAGGGATGCCATTTTCCATGCTTATTGCCACTTTGAGGCTTTGACTGACACAGAGTACACCTTCTCCTGCATTAATTGTGGATTTCACCCCCCTGTGGTAGTCATGGATTTGCACCGAAAGGGGGTTTTCAACTTGAAAGGTAAGTTATTTGTGTGTATGTTTGTGTTACATCTGTTGAATATCAGTATGTTAACTAATATAGCAAATAATTTTAGTGAGTGACCTCAAAGCACCACCTGAAGACTTTGAAGGTGAACATAATATTGAAGAATTTTGGAACTCTGTTCATCTAGAGATGATAAGTCGTGGTTTTTTCTCAAGTAAGTAACAGAAACCCTGTTTTGTTAATTTAATTACCTTTCATTTTGATAGAGTTTTGATTATAATTAAATGTGATATTGATCTCTAGGCAGTGCAAAAAACCCATTTGCTGTTTTGCCAAGCTACGAACACTGGGCACCATGGATTGGCAGTGAAACGCGGAAAAGTGACATTGTGCTCAACACTGAATTTAAAAAAGTGAGGACCTGTCTTTCTTCAGATGAAGCACAGCTTGGCAGTGTCACAGAAGACCGACTGATTGACGAGCTGACAAAACAAAAGGTAACATAGCTTTAAAGTTGTCAGAATACTGTATGTAAGAATGTTTTGTTTACAGTTTTTGTAAATATAGGTTGGAGTTGTGAGAAGACTGTGCAGGGCCTGTAAAATTGATTCCAAGGGGTCTCGGTTTGACCTCATCACCAGACTACGGGAGAGGATGAAAGCAAACATGGTGTATGATAAGGTTTTTCAAAGCATTTGGGGAGCCTCTGGTGAGTTACAGTGTCTCTTAGTAGTTTGTATGGATTTTGTAATTGAACGCATTTTACAGTTTATCACATTTTTTTTTTCCCCAGGCGGATGGTCAGTTATACTATGTCCACATGGGATTGTATACAGCATTAAATTTAATCTTCGTGCTGAAAGTCCTCGAGACTTTGCAGACCTCCTCCTCTGCTGGAAGCACATACCCAACATCTGTGTTTATGACTTTGCAAGAGGTTTAGCAGCACACACCAACTTAGGAGTTCCCCACACCTTGCCGTTCCAACCACATGAGGGTAGACTGGCTGAACCCACAGAAGAAAATATCAAGGCAGCACAAGATGGAAAAATGCAGGTGTGTCTTCCATGGC